AATGTTCAAGTGAGTGCATGTTTTCTCTTTCACAAAGTTGACACATTGTGTATTCGACATTTGGGTTTTGAGAAAGCTGCCAGATACGTCTATATCCCAGGCGTATTCTGGCAACTATGACATCACATTGCTGAGTTCTTGCTCTATTAGTCCCATATGTGAATGTCTCCTCACGATATGTATCATAATATTTAATACTACAACTTTGTCGGGGCTGGCAGGGCATATTTCTTCCCCTGCACTCTGTCAGGTCGTCTTGGAGTGGGTTCGCTTGGGAGTCGTCGAAACAATGTCGTCCCTCAGATGGGTTTCCCGTCTGTTTCCGGTCCCGAAACGGGATTGCGCGGACTTGCGGTTCATTCTGGACTTGTCCCATCTGAACCCCTGGGTTCATTGCCCCTCCTTTCGGATGACTACGCTATCTCAGGTTCGGCTCGTCTTGGAGCCGGGCGCTTGGATGGTGTCCCTGGACCTCCGGGACGCTTATTGGCATGCCCCAATTCATCCGAGGTTCAGGGACTGGCTCCGTTTTGTTGTTGGGCATCTAAGTTACCGCTTTCGTTGTTTCTTGTTCGGGTTGAACCTGGCACCTCGTGTGTTCGTGCGCCTTCCGCGGGTCGTGGTGGCCCATTTGCGTCTCTTAGGTGTTCGGGTGTTGGCCTATCTCGACGACTGGCTGGTTTGGGCTCCCAGCCGGTCGGCTTGCTTGCTAGCCAGGGATTTGGTTCTTTCCCAGCTTGCCGGGTTCAAGTTTTTGGTGAACTGGAGGAAGTCCCATCAGGTCCCCTCTCAGGTTTGGACTTGGCTGGGTCTCATTTGGGACTCTCAGACCTTGTCTTTCCCTCTGGAGTCTCTCCTGCGGTTGCGGTCCCGCCTTCGTCTGTTTCTGGTGGGCCCTCGGGTCACCCGGTGGTTGCTCAAGGGGCTGTGCAGGAGCCTGAACTTCGCATTGGTAGTCTACCCGCCGGGTCGGGTTTGGCTTTGTTGGCTGTTCTGATTCCTTTGGGGTCGCCCCTTCCATCTCTCTCGCCATAGCTGGGTTCGACCCCCGGGGGCCTTGCGTCGGCTGCTGCGTCGCCGGCTTCCTCTTCGGGATTTTCAGGCTTCAGTGCCTTGGTGCCTACCCGAGCCCTTGCTCGATGTGTACACGGATGCGTCGTCTCTCGGCTGGGACTTTGTGACCAGTGCTCACCAGGCCGGCCAGGGGCGTTGGGGTCCGTCCTTCCGTCGAGCTCACAGCACGGTGCGGGAGTTCGCGGCTGTGTGGTTTGCTCTTCGGAGGATTCGGGTCGCCCGCGGATCGACAATTCAGCTCCATTCGGACTACTCTGCGGTGGTTCATTGCCTGAACCACAGGAGTACGATGCAGTCCTTGTCTCTTTGGGGTTGGTCACTTCGGGTGACTTGTCTGCTGAGTTCTCGTGGTTTGGCTCTCCTGCGGTTCACGTGCAGGAAGTGTCCAATGTCTTGGCCGACGGCCTGTCTTGCTTTGTTCCCCTCTCCACTGAGTTAACGGTCGACGGCGCTTCCTTCATTTGGCTTTGCCAGACGTTCGGGCGGCCCAAGGTGGACCTCTTCGTGTCGGCGTGGTCGAGGTGCCTTCCCGTGTATGCGGCGCCCTTCCCCGATCGCGAGGCCGTCGGGTCAATGTCTTTTGGCTGGACTGGTCGAGGTGGGGGTTCCTGTACCTTTTTTTCCCAGTTCGGCTGTTGCTCCAGGTCCTGACTCGCTTGGAGACTTACCAGGGAAAAGTTGTCCCTCTGGCCCCTTGGTGGCCGGCCCAGCCTTGGTTTCAGGCGCTACTTGCTCGGTGTCCGAACCTGAGGGTTTTTCGCAGCTCTGCCTCTTTCAGCAGATTGGGCCAGCATGTCACGTGGCTGGTTCGATCTTCTCCTCGAGTCTTCGCGTATGCGTTTTTTTTACTCTAGTTTATCATTATCTCTATGATGATCAGGTGGCCTCCTTGTTGGTGTCCCACTTGAGGGCTTCTTCTCTGCGGCAGTATGACGTTTCCTAGCAGTCCTTCTATTTCTTTTTGTGTCTTCGTCGTGTTAGTTCGTTGTCTGCTTGGGATTCGGTGTCTGGTTTACCTCGACGACTGGCTGGTGTGGGCTCCCAGTCGGTCCGCATGTCTGCTCGCCAGGTGTGTGGAGGCCGTCCCATTTGTTTCCTTCCCGGGTTCAGACCTGGCTGGGTCTTGTTTAGGGCTCTTGGGCCGCTCCTTGTCCTTCCCTCCAGAAGTGTTGCTGCGGCTGTGGTCCTGCCTTCAGCTGTTCATGAGGGGTCCTGGGTTGCTCGACGGTTGCTCAAGGAGTTGTGCGGGAGTCTGAACTTCGACGTGCTGGTCTGCCCGCAGGGTCGGGTTTGGCTACGGCGTCTGTCTGGTTCCTTCGGAGACTCCCTTTCTGCCTCTCTTGCAATCGTTGGGTTCATTCCTCCGGGGATCTTGTGTTGGTGCTGCGTCACCAGCTTATTCTTTGGGGTTTTCGGGGTTCCGTGCCTTGGCATCTCCCTGAGCCTTTGCTCGATGTGTTCACAGACGGGTCATCTCTCGGCTGGGACTTTTTGACCAGTGCTCACCAGGTCGGCCGGGGATGGTGGGGTCTGTCCGTCCGTTGGGCTCTCAGCAGGGTTTGGGAGTTCGTGGCTGTCTGCTTTGCGCTTCGGAGGGTTCGGGTCACTCGGTGCACTACCATTCAGCTCCATTCGGACTGTTTTCTGGCAGTTCTTTGCCGGAACCACAGGGCTCTCTTAGGTATTGCCTTTGGGGTTGGTCCCTTCAAGTGGCTCATTTGCTGGATTCTCAGGGTTTGGCTATCCGTGAGTTCATGCCTGGGGTGTATCCTACATCCTGGCGGACAGCCTGTCTCGGTTCATTCCTCTGTTAGCGGATTGGCCAGTTGCTGCCGACTCGTTCGTTGGCTCTGCCGGACATATGGACTCCTGGCCATGGACATCTTCGAGTCGGTGTGGTCTAGGCGTCGCCCGTTCTATGTGGCACCCTTACCCGCCTGTGAGGCGTTCACGGTGGATGCCTTTTGGCAGGACTGGTCGAGGTGGGGGTACCTGTTCCTCTTCTCCCGGTCCAGCTGTTGCTTCGGGTTCTGGCTCGGTTGAAGCCCATTCCCAAGAGAGTAGTCCTCATGGTCTCTTGGTGGTCGGCCCAGCTTTATTTTCAGAAGATGCTTGATAGGTGTCCGAACCCAGGATGTTTCCCGCGGCTCCGCCTCTTTCGGCAGGTTGGACCGGCCCTGTACGTGACTGGTTCAGCTTTCTCCTCGGCTCTTCGCGTCTGGTACTTTGATGTGGGTATCACCATCTCTGTGGTGATCAGGTGGCTTTGTTGATGGTGTCCCACCTGCGAGCTTCGTCTCGGCGACAGTATGATGTTCCTGGTGTTTCTATGCACTTTTTTCTTGCTCTTCGTAGGTCGTCTTTTCTTTCGCATCGAGTTGTCTTGTCCTTTCTTGGGTTTTCAGGACTACAGTTATTTGATGTTTCTTACTGTCGTCTCGTTTTGTGCGACACTGGCAGAGCCGCTCCGGCTTGCGTTCGGGGTGGATTTCACATCTGCCCTGTTCTGTCCGCTTTCTCGTGTTTTGTTTCATCTCCGGCCTGCTCATGCGTCGCCTGAGCCGTCCTGGTCTTTGATCAGGGTGCCCTCTTATCTTCTCCTCAGTTTGTGGTAGCCCCTTCGGTTCAGGTTTCTGCTCTTTAGTACTGGTGGTAGGTTTGTACGTTTGCAGCCTTTCTCCGTCTTTCTGGCGACAGTGGAGACAGCTGCTTACCGGGGGGATCCTTGGGTTATTGATTGTTGATTGGTTCAGCTGGGGGTGCATCCTGTATTGTCCGGTTGCTCTTTTTTGCCATTTCCTGCATACCCTGTCTGGGGATGTACTTTAAGTTGATCCAGTTCCCCTCGTTCCCTGTTTCAGGGCTCAGGTCTCCCAGGTCGTCCGCAGAGTTTTTAGGTCTTCCAGCCTGCGGTCTATCCTTGCACCCGTGCTGTTCGGACGTTTGCAGTTTTTGCTGCTGTGTTGGTGACGTTTAGGGTTCATTTCGGGAGTGAGGATTTGAGGGTCGCACAGGCTCCTGGCCACCCATTCTTTATGCACGCGTCTGCTCCTGTGCGTTCTTGTTGCCTTGGGTCGCAGGTTGCAGCCTGTTGTCTCGGCTTTGCGTTGCGGAGTTTGTGGCGGCTGCCTCCCGGGTCAACCCTTTCTTTTCTTTCTCTTCGGGTTTAAAGGTCCAGGGAGCCGTAGGGGCTCCCTGGAGCTTTATACATATACATTTCATTACATTGAATGTAATGAAATGCCATTTTCTGGGTGAGCCCCGGAGGATCCCTGGCAACCCACCCTCCCTCCCACCAGTCGGCGTTTTTTTCGTGTTGGTTGAAGCTTAGCTTCCGAACTGATGCTAGGCAGCCGGCGCGGTGAGGTCCGGGGCTTCCCCTCCCCCTCTCAGGATGGGGAGGGCTGCGCGGACGATCGGCGCAGCAGTAAAGTGTGATGTTTGCTTGTTTGCTTGTTTCCTTGGGATTGTAGGGAGTTTCTACCTCTGTTCGTTTTTTTATTTTAGTTTTTTACCATGTGGAGTTTGTTTTGTCATGCCTACCTTTCTGGGTGCCTGACCCCGGTTGATGGCAGATAACTAAAACCCCAACTACAAGGGGTTTTTCCAGGGCCATTGCTCTCTGAAACCTCTCTGAAGGGGCCAGGTTCTGACGCTGGCCCCTGGTAGGTCTGAACTCTTTAGCTAATGTCCCGGTCTAATATAACATACATTAGCCCGATAAGCTCCAGGGAGTCGTATGGGCTCACCCAGAAAATGGCGTTTCATTACGTTCAACGCTGGTTTTATAATTGTAAGCAAGAGCAAGTACTAATATGCTGTCAACTTGTATTGGGAGGTGATGTTAAATTAAAACTTAATACAGTATTTTAAAAATGGTCAAATTTTTGTATAATTTGTATTTCACAAAATGCTTTCTTTACCAGAGACGATGACATCTTGTACGTATCAGAGGGCGAAGACTTTCAACTGCCAGTACAGCCAAGCCCAGGTGTACGGCCACCTGGTTATGTTGGCTCCAGGATGAATCCAGTGTGTGTGGCTGGCCCCGCCTCTACCTGCAGTTAGTATCAATTTCCATTTATATCATGTCAAACTTACTTGTTTTTTATTTAATTTGGATTATCATGGCCATCTGAGAATGGTTACCCATGGGTGCCTGTCACCTATTAGGCTCCCTCTGAGACCAATTATTTGCAAACTTTTTATGTAACAAAAGCAACATTCAACAATAAACAATGAACATATGTAAAAAGATTATTGATTTAATCAAATGTTTTATCAAACTTGAGGCTTTATGAGAGTAGTAGCTGACCTCCCGAAGATCAGTCAATTTAGAACATAAACAATAAATTACCGGTAGTCAAATGAGTGTAAATGATAGATATAACAAATACAATAGCTAGGTACAATAGATACTACATTTTACTACAATTTTAAACAGTCATATACTGCAGTCAGTCAGTCAGCCCGCCCACTTGAACCTGGTTTCCAAAGTAAAAAGGAAGGGGCAGGTACACACTAAAATACCCCAGGATGTTTATACTGTATAAACTCTTGCTTCCCACAGCCTCAAGTTTATGTAAATTACTTGGACACATTACATCACACACAAGGTCTCTATAGTGAAGTCCTATTATTGACAGATAAGATTCAATATTTGATGATAAACAGCTAGTGGCTGAAGAGGATTACATAGTATTTTGAATTACTAAAATACCATTAGGCTCAGTGAGATTTCCTTCGAATATGCTCTACATACTAAAGTTTGTAGAGCATTATTTTAAATCATTTTTGTGGCAAACTTTTACAACTTTGTGTTGTGACAGGTGGAGCATCTGCCACAAATGATTGGGTCACGCTTAACGTAGGAGGCCAGATCTTTACCACAACCCGTGCCACTCTAGTCACTAAAGAACCAAACTCCATGTTGGCTAAGTAAGTCTGTGTTCTCCTTAGTTCTTGATCAGTTCATATATGTTGACTTCCATTCATATGTGCAATGTCTTTAATGCATTGGTAATTGCTGCCAATCTTTATATAGATATCTTTCTAAAAAGGCAATTAAAATATTTTGCTTGTTTTCTTCCTTTATTTTTAGTACTATACAGTACTGGTTGGTGGCTAAGTATATTTTCAGTTAGTAATTATATTTTCCAGAATGTTTAGCTGTGAGGATAGCAGTTTGTTGCCCAGCAATCGTGATGCCCATGGTGCATACCTCATAGATCGTTCCTATACATACTTTGAGCCTCTGCTGAACTTCTTGAGAAATGGAACTCTAATTCTTGACCCCAGTATTAATCCAGAAGGTGAGGTTCCTGCGCTGTTTTGATCACGGCTTGAGGACAGTATTACTGTACACAGTGACTCTTGGTCAGTACGGTGTGATTGTGTTATCAAGTATTATTATATCATTTGGGAATGTGCTAAAGGTATACACACACTCTGTAGCTGTTGGGAACACCTTGCTTCATGTATATGAACTAATTTACAATAATCTGCATGCCCAAATGTTTGTGTTAATGTCATTTGGGTGTAAGGGCATGTCTGACTGCATAGTTATTTATTGTCTAATGTCAGTTGTATTGTGATAATAATTTCAGAATTTTGTAGTTCATTTTAACATACTGTAATATACAGTACTTTTAATGGGTTAAAATAATTTTTAACTCCTATTGTAGAACATAAAATTATACAAATGATTTAATGTTGTGCTAAAGTATACAAATATTCTTCAACAAATTTGTCTTCATTTAAGTCGTCCAAGTACTAAAGCCACATTTGTTTCAGTAAACAAATATCTGGCACCAAGAACATACCTAGATAATCATGGTATTAAGCTGTCTAAAACTTGAAATGGAATATTTGACAAATTTATGTTATTTATGAAATACTGTACTGTATTAACTAAAGTTATTATGTCTTTATGTTATTATGTTTTATAGGAGTGCTGGAAGAAGCTCGCTTTTTTGGCATGGAGTCTGCAGTGCCGGTGTTAGAAGCACTAATTACCTCTCGAGAAGAGACGCAGGACCTTGAGCCTCTCACAAGGCAGCATGTTGTCGAAGCTCTCATCACGACACACCATCGGGATGAGCTTAGATTTCAAGGAGTCAATCTACGAGGAGCTGACCTTTCCAAACTAGACCTTCGAAACATTAACTTCAAGGTACAGCTCTAGAAACCTATAAGGATTTTTCTTGTCACCATGTTTATTTTGTATTTTCCTGTATGTGTTGAGCATAAGATAGAAGCAAGCTTTGCTTTTATTGAGTGATGCTGAGCTGCAATGCAGCAGAAATAAGGATGTTAATTAAGTGCTTATAAATGTTATGAAAAGGGACGATAAAATACTGTATTATGGAAGCAACATAGTGCTTAATCCATCACCCTTTTCTCAGTTTGCCGATCTGTCACGATGCAACTTGGCAGGAGCTAATATGAATGGATGCTGTCTGGAGCGTGCCAATCTCTGTGGAGCCAACCTAGAAGGGGCACAGTTGCTGAATGTGCGGCTTCTCTGTGCAAATCTTGAATCGGCAAATTTACGAGCGTGTAACTTTGAAGACCCGGCAGGAACACGATCCAATTGTGAAGGCAAGTTTAAGTGAAAAAGATACTTACCTTAATGGAATCCTTTAATTATGTTTGTATTTATACATATTGATGAACTAACATTATCCATCTTATCCATAATTTCTGAGCAAGACCCATTCCCCTTGATTGATTTCTAGGCCACTGCTAGGGTTCACCCAAGATACTGCTGACAAACTAGGCTCTAGTCTATCTTTACCCCATTGTGATGAAGAACATTTCAAATGATTTTGCCCCAATGTTGGAAGGACAGACAGTGGAAAAGAAACACAGTCAAGCATAAGAGTGACCACTTGCTATGAGGCAACAGTAGAATAAAACCACTCCAGACACCCCCTTCAAACGATAATCGGAATTGCCAGGATGGCCAGTTACCGCTCTGCTAACTGATGTTCGTCCTTCAGAGTCGAAAAAGATCATGACTTCAATATCAGGCTGTGGATCGATAGTTGTGTGTCAGAAGATGGATGATGAGACCAATCTGGGTCCAGAAGGTTTGGCCACACATGGGACATGTGAGTGGGTGCTGTTGTAGTGGCGAATGTTGCTCTAGCTTTGTGCAAACCTCCTGTCCTCTGGGCCTCTGCTGCACGAGCACCTGTGATGACTTGCTTCACCAAGTTGGGTGGTCCTAAGCAAGCAATTCTCAAATGATGGGGGTTGATGTCCAGGTCTTTGAGGGGTCACCTTGGGGCAGTCCTTGTATTGCTTCAAGGATTGAATTTAGTAAATTTAAATATATATTTATGGAACTTAGTAAATAATCTGCTATACCAACTAGCACTAGGTGATCACACTAGCTACCATTACAGGATCAAAGAAGCCAAGAATGTAACAACTCTTGTATATATCTCAAAAAAAACAAAAAAAAAAAAAACAAAAAAAACAAAAAAAAAAAAAAAACTAACTGCCCTCATTTTCTGTGGGGAGCTCCTATGGCTCCCTGGAGCTATCAGGCTGATATGTGTTATATTAGTCTGGGGAATCAGTCAATTGAAGTTCAGCCTACCGGGGACCACGAGCCAGAACCTGACCACCTCAGAGAGGCAAAGAAAGCAATGGCCTATAGAAACCCCCATGTGGTTGGGGGCATTCCATGTCTGCCATCAACCAGGGTTGGCACCCAGAAAGGTAGACATAACAAAACAAACCCCACTTGGTAAGAAAATGCGACCGAAAACCAAACAGGGAGGCAGAACTCGCCCTACAACTTGAGGAAACCAAGCAAATAAGCAAACGTCACACTTCACTGACCTGCCACCTGTCAACTATTCCAAGCCATTCAGTTCGTTGGCTGATGTGGTCCGGGGCGGACATGACCCTGGCCTCAGATTTCAGTACAATTGTGTGCCTTAGTGGTGTGTTTCTGCTGTGTATGAGGCACAGTGGGCAGCTGTACTGTGAATAGTACTGGGGCTGCATACACTCTGGGTTACTTTTCCTAAGCGCCCAGTAAGTACTACTCTTGGGTTCTAGGGTTACCTTCCATAGAACTTTCTGGAACTGCTTCCATAGGAGTCTTTGCTGCTCGGCTCTTATCCCGCCCTTGGGGCCAGCTGGGGTTTTCTTGACTCTTGTTTGGTCTTGGGTAGGGAGTAGTAGTGTTGCTGGTTGCGGCATCAAAATGTGGCACAGCCAGTTTACCTATGCAGCAGCCATTTCCTGTTTCCTCTGGGAATTTTGTACTTTTGCAGGTTTTTTATTTTCTTTTTGTTTGCTTTGCTTGGTGGGGGTCTGCCTGGTGTGGCTATTGGACCACTTATAATAATTTGTTGGCCCTCTGCTAGGCTCCCATAATTGTACACATCACAGGGTTTCAGTGTTTGATATTCCCTTTTGTTAGCTTTGGGTCTAACCCAGTTAGCAACACCTTGCCCAGGCTTCCCATAGCAGTCAGCCTACATGCCCTGAAAAACCCTATCTCCAGTTTGAAGGTTGCTGTGTGCCCTTGTCTCAGGGTGACAGTCACCACTTTTGCCTCTGTCATGCTGCCCATTGGGTCAACGATACCTTTGAATCAGAGTCTTACGAGTTGTGTTCTCTGCATATTCTCCAGTTTACCCATTTTGATAACATTGATATTGTTATTGGGTACAGGCACCATCCAAGCTGCATGTTAGGTTTAGGTTGCTGCAACACACTAGGTTGGTTGCCCACCCGGATGCCCCGAGGCTGCCTCGTTTTGGTTATAGGGACCAGGATAGGCGCTGCTTGCTCGGTGTCCAAACCCAGGGTGTTTTCCACGGCAAAGCCTCTTCCAGCAGATTGGTCCAGTCCAGTACATGGCTGGTTTGGTCTTCTCCACTCTTCGTGTCTGGTCTTTTTGACGTGGGTTTATCACCATTTGTGTGGTGATCAGGTGGCTTCGTTAATAGTGTCACACCTGAGAGCTTCATCTCGGTGGTATTATGAAGTTTCCTGGCGTTCTTTCTGCCATTTTCTCTCTCTTCATAAGTTGTCTTCTATTTCTGATCGGGTTATCTTGTCCTTTGTGTCTTTCTGTCTGGGCTTTTTCAGGACCATCATTTAACGCCTAATACTGTCACCTCTTATTGTGTGGTGCTGGCGAAGCTGCTGCAGCTTGTGTTTGAGGTGGATGTCACTTCTGCCCTGTTCCGTAAGCTTCCTCGTGCCTTGTTTCATCTCCGGCCTGCTCGTGTGCCACCTAATCCATCCTGGTCCTTGGACAGGGACCTGGTTGATACCTGGTTGAGGTATCCTATCTCTCTTCTCCTCTGTTCTTGGTGGCCCTTTCGGATCAAGATTGTTTTTCCAAGGCTCTATTTCTGTTAGCATTGGCCTCTGGGGGTCGGGTCGGTGAACTTCATACCAGCGGCGCAGGGGTTTCTGCTCTTTCGGTCCTGGCAGTCGGTTTGTTCGGTTGCAGCCTTCTTCCTCTTTTCTGCCATAGAACGAGACCGCTGCTTTTCGGAGGTGTCCTTGGATCATTGATGCTTCGATGATCAGGTCGTGGGTGCATCATGTGTTGTGTCTGGTTGCGGCTCTTCACCGTTACCTGTGCGCCTCAGCTTCTGTGACCGGGGATGCGCTGTGAGTTTATTTGGTTTCCCTCGTTCCCTGTTCCAGGGCTGTGGTCTCCCAGGTCGACTGCAGGGTTATTAAATTTAGCCAGTCCGCAGGGTATCCTCGTGCCTGTGACGTTCGGAAATTTGCTGCTTTGGCAACATATCTTGGGCTGATATTCAGGCACGGGGATTTTGGAAATTGAACAGGGTCCTGGCCACCCCTTATTTGGTCAATATTCCTGGTCCTGGGCATTCCTGTGTGGCTTTGGGTCGCAGGATGCAGCCAGTTGTCTCGCCTTCAAGTTGAGGGGCTTGTGGTGGCCACCTCCCAGGTAAGTCCCTCCTTTCCTTATCTTTGGGTATGTAGCTCCAGGGAGCCTCCAAAGGATACCTGATCAACCAGGCTGTGACTCATACGTCAGGCTGCGAGCAGCCGCGTCCAACAGCCTGGTTGATCAGTCCAGCAACCAGGAGGCCTGGTCGATGACCGGGCCGCAGGGACGCTAAGCTTCGGAAGCACCTCAAGGTAGGAGCCAAAGGGACTCCCCACAGAAAACCAGCATTGAATGTAATAAAAACACCAATTTCTGGATGAGCCCCGGAGTCTCCCTGGCACACTTCCTCCCTCCAGCCGACAGTTTTCGCACTGTTTTGATGCTTATCCTCCAAACTGGAATGGCAGGGTCGCTGGGATTGGGGGGAAAGTTGTCCAGGGTTCCCCCTTCCTGGGTGTGGGGGGCTGCATGGATGAGCAACGCGGCAGTGGAGTGTGATGTTTGCTTGTTTCCTTGGGATTGGAGGGAGTTCTGCCTCTCTCTTCGGTTTTTGGTTGCAAATTTATTACCATGAGGGGTTTGTTTTCTGGGGGGAGCCCCGTCGGCTCCCCGGAGCTATCCCAGGCTGATATGCTAATGTCAGACTTTGGCATCAGTCATGTGTATGGAGTTCTTAGGCCTACCGGGGACCACGGCCAGAACCGGGCCCCCTCAGAGAGGCAAGGGGAGCAATGGCCTATAGAAGCCCCCGTGTAGTTGGAAGCATTCTATGTCTGCCATCGACCGGAACAGGCACCCAGAAAGGTAAGCGCCCCAAAACAAACCCCTATTCTGGTTAAAATTGCTACCAAAAACCGAACTAGTGGATAGAACTCCCCAACCGAAAACAAGCAAACTAGTGTGACGTCACACACCGCCGCGCCGCTGTCTGCGCAGCTCCCCCCTCCCCGGGAGGGGGAAGGGGGAGCCCCAGCCCCCCGCGCCGGCTACCCACACCTCAGTTCTTGAGGCTGATGCTATAGGCGATGGTTGTGTGCTCTGGCTCCGGTGTCGCTACTGCACTGTGCTTTGCGTGTGGTGTTGGTTTTGTGGGTGCGAGAGCCAGGAGTAATCTTCAGTACTCGGGCTGCATGCGCCTAGGGCTGCCTTCCCTAGGTGCCCTGTAAGTACTGCCCTTGGGGCTTGGGGCCACCTTCCACAGGCTCCTCGGGGTCTGCCTCTGCTGGTCCGTTTTACCTTTCGGTTTTTCGGCCGCCTGTTGGGTTCTTGGGTGTTCTGTTCTCCCTTGTTACCGGCAGGTAAGAGGCAGTTTGCACTGGTAGGGGCGCAGGGTGCTGCTCAGCTTGTATATCCCGACATCGCGGCCGGCTCTGTTCCTTGGGGTTCGCTGTCCTCTTGCGGGGTTTTGTTTTTCTTTTTGCCTGGTGGGGGGTTCTGTCATTTTATTCAGTTTGTTTTTGCCCTTCCACTGTTCTCCTCGGTGGCGCCCCCTGCTAGGTCCCCGTGAGTGTACATGTCCCTGGGGTTCAGCTTTAGAAGTTTTGCTTGGTAGTTTTGGGCGCCGGTTTGCAGCACCCTGCCTGGGACTACCTGAGCGCGAGTCCTCTTAAAGTAAACGCTCAGGACCCTGGGAATCCCCTAGGGGGCGCGTGGGTCCGATGGATGTGACCCCGGAGTCCCCACTCGCTGTGTGCGAGTTTGAGGGTTGCTCGGTCCCCTTGTCTCAGGGTG